CGTACAGCAGGGGAGGTATGCTGCTTGTTTGCTATATAAGTCAACAAGCAGCATACCTCCCACGGCATTTTTTTTCTTTGTGCTATATGAGCAGAAGATGAATACATAAGGCTCTCTTGTGCCTAATTCTGAGTTCCATATGTAATTCTAATGGCAGAGTATCCACTCAATTGCAGAGCAATAAAGTTTTCTCTTTACAATTACTAATAAAAACTCCAGAGCCATCCACTTAGTTCTCCATGGATGCTGCCAGTATGGCTGTGGATCAATCAAACACTTATACCATAATGGTTATAATATCAGGTAGAATTGCATGTCCTTTGTTTCAAAGGAAATGCAGAAAATGTCACGTCCCTGCTGCTTGAGCATTCAACATTATTAGTGCAATGATTAGATCAAGAGATATTGCTTATCTAAAATTCATGACTTTAGTAAAAATGAACCAGAGGCAATTTGATTTATTTCTCTTACTATGAGCACCTATTCTAAATACCAATGAACAGAGAGGTGGAGGAAGTCTTTTTTTTTAAATGTGCAGATGACATAAAATTGGATGGGATACCTAATACTATAGAAAAAAGAAACAAAATTTTAAAAAATAGGTAACAGAATGTAATCTGATACAGAGAAATGCAAAGTTCTTTGCCTGGGAAAAAAGGAATCAAACAAGGGGGATACCTGGCTTGATAATATGCATGGGAAAAAAAATCTTAGAATTGTGGTTGATCATAAGCTGAATGTGTCAGCAGCATGATGTGAATGACAAAAAATGGTAAATGTAATTTTAACTGCATCTATTAAAGGTTGCCATTATAGGATTTTACTCTACATTGTGTTTTTTATGTGATGTTAGCCACCTAGAGTTGCTATGCTATAAATCACAGAAAGATAGTTGTAGAGTTTCCAATTGTAGAAAATGGGACTTCCACTATATTATGTATTAATCAGATTCTCATGATATCTCAAGTCCCTTCTCTAGTTTTAGGAATAGTCTCAAAGAAGGTTATTCTAAGGAGCCACTTGGAGGAACTGGGTATATTTAGCATTAAGGAAAAGCTAACTGAAGGGAGATACCATATTTAAAAGTTCTTAAAGAGATATTACAAAGAAGGTCAAGTCATGTTCTCCATCATCCTAGAGTGCAGGACACAGTATAATGATCTTAACTTACAGGAATGAAGATTCTGACTGAATGTTAGGAAATAATTCTTAATAGGCAAAAAAGTTTGACAGTGGAATTAATTATTGAAGGAGGTGGTAAGCTCTCCTTCACTGAATATGTTCCAAGGGAAGCTAAACTGCCATCTATCAAGAATGCTTTATTTGGACTCAGTGGTCTAAATGATTTCTTCTGAATCTATAATTCTATGACTCAGTGAAAGATGGTGCTGGCCCTGGGCTCATAAAAGTAAAACTTGGTTTAAGGGAATTAAACCAATGGTGGCTGTGGGGGTAGAGCGGAGACCAGGAGGTCATTCTGGCAAAAACAGCAAGAGCCTGCAGATGTCACTGAATTAAACATACATTTTCAGAGGAATAGTAGACAATAGCTGTTTGAAATAAGTCTTATTGCTTAGTTTAGATTTTATGCAAAACAAAAACTAAATTACCGTGATGGTATCTGGTAAGTCATCATAACAGTATCATCTGCATTTGCCATCAACAGCCAAAGAGGATCCTGGAGGACACATTTAATGAACTGCACCTCTTCTTCCATTTGTGAACATTTTGTTTTATGATTGTTTTCTGAGAAGTTACCACTTCCAAAATAGTTGCTGGTATGACTTGTCCCACTACATCCTATAGAAGAGAAAAATAACACTTTTACTCATAGAGACCTGATTTTTTTCCCATTTAAATGCCTCCAGAATACATCAGATGCACATGCAACGTTACCTGCTCCACTGCCTGACACGCCACATCCATTTGATTCGCATCCTAAAGACTCAGTGGCTGCTAAAGCACTATTTCCTGATGAAGCAGATCCAGTGCCTGAATTTGGGTCTTCCTGAAGTAAAATATCAAGTAAATCAATAGACAAAGAGAAAGCATCACTATTGTGAACTTCCATTGGTGTATCAACCTTAGCAAACAAAAACAAAACAGTATCACTTTACATATTTAAGGAAGAACTCTTCTTTATCAACAAGTGGATTGGGGAGTAAGTTTATTACGTAAGGTTCACCTAGCAATTATATTAGTGGAAGGGAAATATTGTGCCATTAAAAAAAACACAACTATTTGAGCTAAACTATGCAATGTTTAATATGAATGTTCAAAGAAATTCATATTAAAGTTAGGAATTTAATTTAATTCAATTCATAAAAGTGTATGTTCTATACTTTCTATAGGAGTCATGGGCTGTCTCTTGCTGGAGGTCTTGAAGAGAGTCTGTGCAACAACCTGTGCTATTGCTCTACATTTTCTACACTGAGCAGAGGCTTGGGCTAAGTGAGCTATAAAGTCCACTGAAAATCTATAATTGTCTGCAATATAAGCTAGACAGACAAAATTGAACAGTGAGCTTTAATTGTGTAACCAGACTGAAAACTTTTCACATTTTCTAATATAAAGACTCCCAATAAATCAAATCTAATGCACAAGTAGGGTGGCTCTCACATTGTAGTTTCTGCTTAGATTTAGGCATGAAAGCATAAAGTAATATAATTCTATTTAACAGTTATTAACTCTTACAGAAAATAGTTAGAAACTGTTGATAATATGCACTATTAGGCAAACAGGAGTAAATGATAAAAAATTACCATTTTTAAAGAATTTTTCACATGCACAATACTTAGGTATTTTCCAGGCAATGGCAAATGCTTACTGTGCAGGATGCTTTTCTTTCACCATCATCTCTGCTCAATTGTTTATTAGTAATCTCTCCATCAGTTAAAGTTCCATAATTTCCCACTATACCAGCACTTCCATTTCCCATCATTTTTGGTGTTTCTTCTAATTGCAGAAGATTCAGTTGTAAAGGAGAACTGGACTGTGACTGAAACAATGGTGATGAGGACTGATCTTGTAGACCCAGGGACTGTGGAGTACAGGAACGGGATAGCTCATTTTGGCAGTCTATGACAGGGTTCTTTTTATTATCTGCTACTGAATTATAACAAAATGGTTGTGCTGAAAAAGCTACCTCAGCAGGGAACTTGTTTGAGGCAGCAAATGAAGGTGGTGTTGTAAGCAAGGCTTCTGAAGAGAAAGAAGGCTGAGCAGAAAAGCCAGGTGGAATAGGACAAGATGCCTGAGGAATACTATTGTTTGTCTGAGGACACATATAGTTGGGGAGAACAAGTGCTATTACTGGAGTCACTAGGGGTGCAACAAACTCAGATAATGGCAAAGGACAATGTTCTCCTGAGTCCTGTGTTTCATTCAAATAAGACAGAGAACCTTTAGGACCCACTGGTGTAATTCCTTTAGATGGAAAAACTTGAAGTGGACACGTGGGTATAACTGCAGGAAAAGGCATGGTTGGATAACTTGCTTGTGAAGTATTTGATGGAGACCAGGCTGCATTATTTGGGCCAAGCAGAATAAATTTGTGCAAGGATTTGATACCAGATGTTATACTGTCTGAAGAACTAAGTGGCTTGTGTCGTTTTGGTTTACATTTCTTTATCTTCCCAATTTTCTTCCAAGAAAAAGCTATTCCAGAACCATGTTGTAGTCCACACATATCTAGAAAGAGGGAGAAGTTATTTAATAGAGTTTCAACATCTGTTTTGACTCTATTCTTCATAGAAGACACATCTTTTGACTTGAGGACTCTCAGCTAGCTCCTACTTATTTGCAGAGGTGACGAATTCAGTTGTTGTTTTTTTTAAACTGTTGCCAGGTCCTGAAATATTCTAAGCTTTAACAAATTCTGGTTCTAATTAAGTGCTCTTGTTCCAACACACTTCTAATTCTTTCATTTCCAGAAGCTATTCCAAATCTGAAATCTGCATAAATACAATAAAAAATAGGAAAAAATCATACTACTTGTTTTGCATACGAAGTGACAAATCACATCGCTTGTAGATTTGGAGGAAGCAGAAAGCTACACATCTCTGAAAATGCTAACTTAATCCCTTATTCCTTTGGCTAACACAGTGTTTTTCAAACTTGGCAACTTTAAGATGTTTGGACTTCAACTCCCAGAATTCCCCAGCCAGCTTGCTGACTAACAGATCTGAGATACTGTCCTGAACTTCAGAAGAAGCACATAATGCATCACAAGATGTCTATAGTCTACACTTATTCTGAACTATGCACAAAAAGTATTAAGCAAATTAATGATAAGTGTTAAACTATATATATATATATATATTAAAAAAACATACCACGTTCCCCTGGGCATCCTTTGGGTCTTTTCTGAAAGTAGCAACTGCAAGCACACTTAAAAATATGGAACCTTTTGATTTCTTTACACTTATTCAGAAAACTCTGCTCTTCTTTTTGAGTATGTACTGCAAGGATTTCCTTTGTAAGACCCAATTTCTTAAATATTGCTTTTTCCTTGTTCTTTTGTGAACTGTTAGATTGTAGAACAATAGTTCGATTCTTTGTGGATTTTATCCCAGGCAGACAATCTTCTATAATTTCTTTAAAAGAATATCAAAGACAGACATATAGGAAAAATAAAAGAAAAAAATGTTATCTAATTTTAAATGTAAATGTTTTTCCTACCATGATATGAGTCTACAGTAGTTTGATATGTCTGTCCAAGTTTCTTCCATTTATACAGGAAAGAGAGTACATAATTATTACAATTAAATTTTTGAAGAAACTTCCTACATTTATTCTAGAGTCTTAAGAATCATATTCTGTCCCATAGTAAAAGTAGTACTGTACCTAATTCAGGTTGTGTTTTTTTATCTCCAACATGAACTATGGTGCTGCTGTAGCTGCACTGACTGGTAAAAGATATTACACTCTCTGGTTTTCCAGGTAAAGTCAAAGAAGTTAAACAGGCACCAACAACAGCTGAAGCACTGGATGTGTCAGATGTCTCCAATACTGCAGGGCCTATGTGAGTTTTTGATTGTCCCCTTTCTTTTCAGTAACAACATAAACACACCATATATACAAAGAGAAAAGAATAAAAAGAATAAATGCAAATTTCTCAAACAAATAAAGCATGATGTCAGGTAAAATAAACTGTCCTGATCTACTAGACTGAGGAGTAGCAAACTTCTGAGAAGTCAAAAATACAAGAGGAGATTCAGAAAAGTTTTTACATAATGTAGTTTTCAGCTTCCCAGAAATTTTTAAAACTATCTGTTCTTCACTTTTTCATTTCATGAGCTTGTAAATATGCTTCAATTGATAAAAGTTCCCATCACTGTCATCAAGATCAAAGCACTGAATAGCCATTCCTTTTGGCTTGTACAGATTTAGGCTGGGCGAGAGGAGTAAAATATTAGTATCATTGTTATTCAATTTATAAGTGTCACAGGCTTTAATTTCTAAGTGCTATACCTGTAATGGCAGCAAATATTCTCTTAACTTTTTAAAAAGAAACATTTCTGAATGAGCACAAGAACTGGAATTATTTTGCTCTAAATTTCAACATTTAGATTATTTAAATGTCTCCAAACTGTAATCTAATTTGTTCATAAGCAGGCTGTACTGAATGCTAAGTTTCCTAAAAACTTATGTGTAAGCTGCCTAGTCACTTATATAGTGAGATGGGTGGCGTATAAGTATGATATATAAATAAAATAAATAAAAAAACTACACAGTATTGTAGTCTTAAACCTATTCTTAAAGACTGGAGTTAAATCAAAATGGTCAACTTCTGATTGTTGAAAACGATTATACTCTTTCTTCTCCATCACTCCCTCCTCTCAATAATATAGGATACATACAATTGCCAGCAACATGGATTTCCCTGCTTCCCTGGTTGCTGCCTGTTCTTGCTGGGAAACTCACAGTGCTAAATATCATCATGGGTAAAGAAGAAAAGATGGACTGCTTCTTAAAGTGGCTGCTTTACATGTGTTGTAAGGCTCAGCTTAGGAAAGACCATGTTATAAAACTGAATGTTACCCAAATGGAAGCTGCAATCCTAAACACACTTGGCTTATCTTAGCTGAAGATAAATGTACATAAGACTTCTCTGTGAAATCCATAAACAATGTCTCCAATACCTGTCGAAGCTTTAGTTGTATCAACATTTATTTTCTCTCTGCATATATCAGTATTCAGTGCTACATCAGTATTTGGTGTAGGGCGAGTTATTTTCTGCAAAGTATCAGCCTCACAGCAACTTTCCAAATATCTACAAGAAAAAGCAAATGTAAAAGCCCATAAAAACAATCACTTTAAAAAGTACACACACACACACACAGACAATAGTGCTTCAGTGAAATACATAATTGTTTACCTGATAACATTATCTAAACAGCTGATCTGTTGATATGAATATACAGATTGTTCCTCCCAAGTGAGTTCTTTTGTAACCAGACTCCTTTGACAAGCAGTCCCAATACCATAATTTTCAAATGAATGAATGATACTTTTTGTATGATCATGGTAGTCAGTGGATTTCTCTGAGCAACAAAAAAAGAAAAATAGTTTATTCAGTTATTCTCCCATAATCAAACATTATAGAGTCAGGAAACAGGTGGCAACTCAAGATCTAAGTATGTAGGAAATATCAGCCTATGGCAGGCTGTTCACACAAAATGACTACCATTAACAGGATTAGATTGTGTGTATTTGACCAAAAGTATAGTTAAAATAACTGAAGATAAATAACTATCAATATGTTACTAATTTTTTAAAATTGACTTTGCTTTATACCTCTATAAGATTTCTTCTGACTTTCAAGCTTTAATCTAGAATCAAAGTAGGGATAATTTCTGTCCACATTTCCATCTTTACAAATATCTTGAGAAGAATTCTGGAACCAAGATGAAACAAACAGTTTTTAAACTATACATGGTACATGCTTACTTGGAATAATTGATTAGAAATTGTTTCACTGGCTTATACTTATGATAAAAATCACAACATTTTTTCATTAGACTGAAAACATTAACAACATACAATGTCAAACTTACAATTTTGTGTATCTTCTGAGTATCTTCATTATTATTCCCATTGCTGTCACTGGATGAAGCCACACTCATTAGGTGCTCATGTGATCCATTGCTGCCCAAACTTCCATAGCCACTAGAGCCACTATTATATACAGGCTAAAAATAGATATATAGTATATCTTAATGATGAAGGGCACTGCTAGTCAGAATCCTTAAAACTTTAATATTTTGCATATTATAATAAGTATGAATCAAGCAGCAAGTAAATCAAGCAGCTGTTTCTATCATTCAGAACATAATCTGAAGACTGCAAATAGAAACATCAGTCTATTGCCAAGTACAACCCACTGGATTTATGCTATGTAAGCACTTAACTCTTTTTTTTAAATAACGTTTTTATTAAAAGTTTTAAGTACAATAATAAAATACACCTAAAAAGAAAAAAAAGTATAGAAAAAATAATAAAAGGTGCAAGAAAGCAAAAAAGAAATAAAAAATAGAGAAAATTTAAAAAAACTAAAAAAGCGACTTCTCACCCTCATCACAAGAAGTATAAATAGTTTCACTATTTCTTCACCCCCTCTTAGTTAACAAATATAAAACTCATTCCATATCTCAACTTTTAACTGTAAGCAAATCCAGTATACCACATCTTTTCCAATCCAGATATCAGCAAGTCCAGAAAAATACCCCCCAAAATTATTAACTATAGGCAAGTCCTACAGGCAAGTCAACTCTTAACTATAAGCAAATCTAATACACGTCTTTTCTGGTCTAGAAAATCCAGAAAGAATCCCTCAAAGTAACAATATATCCCATTTTAACTCTGATCAAATAAGCCAAGGTTATATTCCTTCTTTTTACATAAGACAATCTTGCTCTTTAATCCATTCGAATGATTATTATCCCTTGCCTCGAATTTCTTCAAAACTTTAACAAGCCTCTTTGCAAGTCCATCAGGAAGAAATAAGTCCAATTACTCTCTTAAATTGGCATTTTTATTTCCTTCTTAATTTTTAGAGCCTCATCTGATTTTTTTTTTTTTTTTTTATATCCTGTGATAAATTCTTGTTCACGTTGTTCTCCATAATCATGTCAGATGAATTTTTTTCCAAATCCTTTTCTGTGACAACATCTTCCAGTGTTAACAGCTTCTTCTGGGTACAGGGTATTCATAAAAACACACAACATAGCTGACAATGTTGATTCAAACTCCTGTTGCCATTCCTCAACAATAGCT